AGTCAAATCACCAGCATGCTTCAGTATTCGGCTCTGTGATTTATTAAAAACAAATAATTTGAATGAATTTCGGTTTACAGAATTTCCATAACAATATAACCCAACGAAAAACATAAAACTCCAATGATTTTTTTTTTTTGAGATAAAAGTGGAGAAGTTGTATTGAAGTGTAGGCACCAAGGGGGTGCCACTCATGTACAAAAATTTACAAGTCAATGAGCATATTTACAATGAAACCAAAATCATCAAGGCTAAAAAGGTTATGTCCCAGAATAACAGAACCAAAAAAATGGAACTGTTTTCTTATCTGCATCTGTAATATAACAAAAATAAAAACAGTCGGAGATAGAAAGCAGCGGATAGTCCACTATCTGAAATATTTCCTCAGCAAAACAAAGTTGCTTTCATTGATTTACTAATACGTACAAATCTAGCACAACCAAATAGGTAATGAAACCATATTTAGGACTTCATGCTGAAGAGAAAAATATATTTTTTAAAAGACTTGAGAGAAAATCTAACCATATTTAAGATCACCATCATGTTAAGTGTTCATATATCACGCCCTCGTCAAAGAAAAAATGTAGCATAAAGAATCTAAGATACAAAAGCAATGCCAGGCATCAGCAATAAAAGTAATCTTTTAAATAAATGCAATGAAAACAATCTGAAATAGTGTGAAGCGAACGTTTTAGAGATGTTAGAGGATTTCTTTAAGAAGGGTGAGTTTGATTCTGGTTTTAACTCTACCTTGCTCATCCTCATCCCGAAGTTCTTCTACTTTGGAGGTTAGAGACCTCAGGCACCAATCAACTTGGTCAGATGTGTACTAAGTCCTTGATGCCTCTTAGATGGTGAACATAATGGTCATTATCTGCTAAGAAGGGGATAACGGATCTCTTGTGCAAGCTTGACATTTGAGGAAGCATATGACCATGTGTCAAGGCTTTCTTGATTTACCTAAGTTGGTCTAGCCAAGTCCAAGTCCCTTTACTTTAGCCGGGTTCACCCATCTTTTCTATCCCTTTCTGATTAAGACCCTGACAAAAATCCTCTCAGATCCTCCAGTGCCTCTAATCCGACTCAAGAGCTGGGTGGTGGGAGAAAGCTGAGCAGGTCTAGCACTTGAGAGAAAAGGAACAAAGGCATAACAAACTAGAGCAGAAAGATGAGTTGGAAGCATCACTTAGGGTTTGAGGATATGTGGTCTACGTAAATTCATGGACACATCTCTATACCTTCTTTTCTGGTCCTAATCAATGGGAGTCCTTTAGCATTTTTCAAGTCTCAAAGGGGAGAAATTGTCCCACTTTTTTCTCAGACCTTCATCTTTGTTATGGGAACTTTCAGCATAACGGTTATAAGAGCTAGATTATAAAACCCGATACAAGATTCGAACATTCAGGAAGGAGAAGAGAGGACAATGAAATCTACATGCTGCTTTTGGAAATGATACAATCCAACTTTACAAATCTAGCAGAGAATTACTCCTCAATATATGGGCCTGAAGATCAACATTGGAAGTCAGAAATATTTTTGATTGGTGATGGTAAGGTGCGGAGGGTTGTCACCAGATCCAGGTTGCAAGTTCGGCTCTTTTTTTATCAAGTACTTTTCATGAAGCTTTTTCTATCAAGTACTTGAATCATCTCTTTGAGGTAAATCCAAATGCTAGGCATTTGGGAATGGATAACAATAAGATGGAGAAGTGGTAGGCTAGCTCAAAGAGAGGCACTTGTCTAAGGAAGTCAGGTTTACCCTCATTTAGAAGTTACTCTCTATGACCTGCTTGTTTATGTTTTAATCCTTCTTCCCCATGCCAGGCGAAGTGGTCGAAATAGGGTAGCAACGAGCCAAACATGTTTATGAATGACTTATACTCGGCCCAGTCTGAGGTTAGTCAAACTCAAACTTGAACCCGAACTACAGCCTAAAAAATAGTTTGTTTAGTTGAATGAGCAAAACTCAAGCCTAAAAGTACTTGGTTCTGAAACTTGCAGACGTATTTGTATATCCAATATGTTTACGAAAAGATATAATAATAATGAGCTTTAAGGATGAATATATTTTAGTTGTACATGTAATATATTTGTGAAATTCTTAAATAAAATTAAGCAAATAGGACAATAAACAGGTTCCTTATTGAGGTAGCTTTTATATAAATTCAACTTATTCAAGTTCAAGTTTTGAACTCGAATTATATGTTTTCTCTAACAAACCCGAATTTTAGCAAATATTTAATTGAAGTTTCGAGTTAACTCGAGTCTGACACAGTTAAAAAAAAAAAAAAACTTCTCAGATACCTACATTTTGGCAGGTTACACCCCCATGGAGAACAAGGAGACTATAAGTTGTCTCACAATATCACTCAGCTGTCCAGGATTGTTGCTGCTTGAAACTTCTAAATGC